CGCCTGGGTTCGGAAGGGGCTCGATGTTCCCCGGGCCCATCCTTTGTTGTCCCTCTGGCGCCCCCTCGTGCACGCAGGCGCTTGTGGGGCCAGGCAGTGGCGCCGCTCCTCCTTCAACGCCCCTGCTGGTGCAGCACCCCGACATGCAGGGACCCGGGAGCGGGGCCCCCGGACCGCCCCGCGGTCGTGCAAGACTCCCGGCGGGGGGGGTTCTGGTGGGTGTTGGGCGTTGCGTAATGGAGGGGTCATAAATAGGGGGGTGGCGAGGGTGGTCCGAAAAGGTACCCAAACGGTACCTAAACGAGCCCCCTGGGACTCCAGAGGGGCCCGAAAGGGGCACGAAAAGGGACCGTTTCTGACCCCCCCATTCATGACCCCCCCATTAAGCCACGCCCAAGGGTGGAGGTTTCTGGGGACGGGAGGGGGGGGGAGGCACGGGGTGCGGCAGGAAGGCAGCAGTGTCGAATCGGGCCTGTCCCTCTACAGGACGAGTACTCAGAACCAGTCAAGGAATAGTCGGAGGACGGTTTTTGTTGACGATTTGACTCTTTCTAGCTACTTCTGAATCTTATGTTATTTTCCGCCCAAAATCCGCCGAGCTGACAGCAGCGAGTGGAGCGGGGAGAGGGCGCAGCAGGAGCGGATGGGAGAAGGCCCCGCACGGTGGAGCCGAAACCCGGGTCGGGCAGGGCCGGGGCGCAGACACCACCGCACCTCCGCACCGCCGCAGCCAGTCAGCCTTCGCCCCCAATGGGGGGGGGGAGGCAGCTCCGGCGGCGAGCGAGGGGGAGTATGGTGAGAAGGAGAAGGCCTTCTCAGAAGGCGGCGGGGCCTCTCAGAAGGCCTCCGGCCTTCTGAGAGGTGTTCCGTGTCCGCGGGGGAGGCTCAGAAATCTTCCCAGGAGGCTGGGGGACTTCGGGCCTTCTGAGAAAGCTCGCCCCGTCCCACTTCTCCCCCTCTCTCGCCGCCGACAGCTGCCATGGCGGACGGGCCACCAACGTCCGCTGGGAAAGCGGCTGGGGCTCCAGCCGTCGGGCAGCCTGCGTCGCGGGCACCAGGGGCAATCTGTAAGGCCTCGAGGACCCCTCGCCTCGGGATGCCTGCCCTCCTCGATGCGGCTCAGAGTCTCCTTACCCTTGCGAGCGAGCTCCGAGCAAACTGTCGCAAGATGCCTCCCGGACAGAGGCGTACTTCCTGCGAGTCGTGCAGAAATCCGTGAGGAACCACTCCATCAGAAGGGGAACAAAACACACACACAGACACAATGAGTCGTCGACTCCCAGGAAACTAGGGGCAACTATGGGAAGTGGGGGGGAAGACAGAAACCCTGAACACATGGGAAAATATGTGGAATATCTTCATTTGTGCGTCTTTATTTGTGTGTGTCCTGGGGCCCCTTCACTCCCATCGCTGCACAGACTGCGACGGCTGTGCGCCGCTGCCTGCCGCCGGCGCCCTCCTGCTCTCTTCGCCCCCGCGGCCCCAACGACACAAGGGGCCCTGAAGAAGGAACCCTCTTCGTTGGAGAGGGGCTCGGTGTTCCTTGACTGTTTCAAAGTTTGCCTCGGGCTTTCCTGAGGTTTTCCATAGGAAATCGAGGCTGAACTGATGGGACAAAGGGGCCTCGTTCATTATTTAGGGTTCCTTAGGTCAACGCCTCGACTGTACTTCCTGCGAGTCGTGCAGAAATCCATGAGGAACCACTCCAATCGCTAAAAACAGAATGCGACGGCTGTGCGCCGCTGCCTGCCGCAGGGCGCCCTCCTGCTCTCTTCGCCCCCGCGGCCCCCACAATACCGGGGGCGGGAGGGGGGCCGCGGCAGATCAGAGCCCCGAATCATCAGGGGTAACTCGGATCAGGGTTAACTCGGGTTCGTTTTTCGGGAATCCGAACCCGAGTTATCCCGGGCCCGAGTTACCGCGGATATTTCGTTCGTCCAGAGCCCCGAATCATCAGGGGTAACTCGGGTCAGGGATAACTCGGGTTTGTTTTTCGGGAATCCGAACCCGAGTTACCCCGGGCCCGAGTGACCCCGGATAACTCGGGCGCCCAAGTAGATGGTGCAGTCGTCACGGTCATCTCTGGACGCTGGCACAAAAATCTTGCTCTGACCGCGCCGGCACCCGCCACCCGCCTTCAGCCAAGGGTGACCCGACGTGGCAGTGGCGGCCCTGAGCTTCAGTCGGGCCTGTCCCTTTACGGGAGGGGTATTCCAAGATAGTCAAAAATATTCCAAAATAGTCTGGGGACAATTTTTTAACATATTTTTGTATATGTTTGGGGCATTCTTTGACTGTCTTTCATTTTTCGTCCAAAATCGGCCTGTAGGGGGGCACGCCCGACCTAACAGCAGTGACCAGAGCGGGGAGAGGGCGTAGGAGGAGTGGCCCTCTGGCCGTCGGGGCCCGCCTCCGCGGCAAGGGAGGGGCGAGCGCGCGCCGAGCGCGAGCGCAGACCGGAGTGCAGGCAGCATCCCTATATGCTCCTCCTCCTCCTCCTGCTCCTCCTCCTCCTCTTCCTCCTCCTCCTCCTCCTCCTCCGCCTCCTCCGCCTCCTCCGCCTCCTCCTCCTCCTCCTCCTCCTCCTCCTCCTCCTCCTCCTCCTCCCTGGGTCCTCCTTCGGCTTCACGTGAGAGTGACCCTTCGCCAGAGTGACCTTTGGTGCGGGCCCACCGGGGCCCCCCGATGACCGAGCGCGACGCGGTAGTCGCGTCTCGCGCGCTCGCGTTTGGCCCCCCCGTGGCCCCCCCCCAAAGCCGCGCGCCAAAGGTCACTCTTATCCAGGGTCACTCTTGCGTGTAGCCGACTCCTCCTTCCACCGACGTCGCCCAACCCTTGCGGGCCGCCAACCCCGCCTCTTGATCAGCCAGAGCGTGGCCCTGGATTGAAGGGGGCCAACAGGTCAGCGCCACTACAGGGGGCATCGTCCTCTTGAGATGGGATCCCTTTCAGGGCAATGTCGGGGAATCTCTGCATAAGGCCTACACGGATCATGGACGAGATGTGTTGGTTCGCCCCATTCTTGTCAAAACACCGACTCTTCGTGCACGCCTTGACCACTGCTTCATGGGCCGCCACAACAACAGTAGCTTGTGTTGCAGCATCAAGTGCAAGTGCGAAAGCGAGCAACTCTGAGCTGGTGGCTGTTTGCCTGCATGGGTTGAAAGCCACCGCGCCTGTCTCCATCCGCCTCGTTCGTTGGGCTGCAAAATGACGAAGGGGCATCCGCATTGTCTCCTAGTGGGACCCGCGCTTGTGTGGTCCCCCCGACCCATCCCCTAATACTACCACACACACACACGTCCGTAGACGGGGTGGGGCAACATTTCGGCCACAGGGGTGGGTCCTAACTCGCGGACCTCTCCTTCAGGGAAACATACGTAAACTACGTTGGGGGAATGCTTCTCAGCCACAGCACAGGGCATTGCTCACATTGGGCTTCTGCCTGCGGAAGCAGGATGTCGCCCTTATCAAACTTTCAAGAATTAGCATTGCACGGACAGACGAAGACTCGGAGGAAATACGTTCCGTCTGGCAACGTGGGCATACCTTGGATATCTCGGAACCGAGCTCAGCCTGGCGCTGCCGAGTGAACTGCCTGCCCGAGACCGCTGCAGTCTGGAGTCCTACCGGGTCAAACTGACCATCGGCATCCAACCTATTGTTTTCCCTCCTCGCCGCCCAAACGTCACCCCACTGCATCTCAGATCCTGCCCAATATTGCTTGGAGGAATGTGCCCAGAGAGCAGGCGCAAGGTCTTGGACAAGGTAGGCTAGGAGGCCAGAAAAATCTGCACCCCCTGGTCAAAACCATCATCGTCTGTGCGTGGGACTATCCAGAGCTCGGTGCCTTCTTCTGTTGGCCTCCGCCATGAGTCAGTCGCTGCTGGGACCCACCATGCCTCGCACAGAGTAGCTATCACCGCACTAACTGGGCCCTTGGCGTACCTCCCCTGATACGTATCTTCCACAGCCTGGGAGCCAGCTGCTCCCACTCAATTCGGATACGGACGTGCAGCCTTGGGGAATATTTCCTAACCAACAAATGCTCGAGGACCGACTGACGCGGCAGGTCGAGGGATGCTGCGGCGACATGCGTGCACGCCAAGATGGCCTCACAAGCCGAAGTGCCGTGCTCCGACTTGCCACTGGGCCGACCCGCGGTTTGGATCATCTTCCGTCCATGTTTGCGCATTGCATTGCGCGTGTTCTCGTCCGCTGCTGGTCCAGATGCGTCTCCACGAAAGGCACATGTTGTTTAATTATAGACGCTTCGCGTAAACCCACCAGGTCGGCCACTGCATCCCCCCCGCCTGCTTGGCGGCGGGCTCGACCTAGCCAGGTCACAGTTTTGGCAAGTACAGACTTGAGCGGCGGTTAGCTGCGACCCTGGAGGACCAACACCCACCATCCCCGTAGCGGTATCATTCTCCGCGGGGGCAGACCAACACCCAGCACAGCCTGAGGTCCACGTAGGACCCCACCCTCCCTCGGCCTTTACAACCTTTGAAGGACCCAACCACCATTTAGTTGTCGTGAGCGGCGGTTAGCTGCGACCCTGGAGGAACCAATAGAATCACCACTTCCCCTGTCCCACGGGTTCGGGGCCAGGCCGAGGGGAGGGGCGGCGTTCTCCCCACGCCTCTCCCCTCTGGGGCCAGGCGGGTGTCCCCCGCCCTTGGCCCCGGGGCCCGCCAGACGTGCTGTCAGACGTCGGTGTTGTTGCCCCCCCCTCCCAGGGCAGCCCGTGTCCCTCGCTGTTCGTGATTTGTCTCATAACTCTCAGCGGCGGTTAGCTGCGACCCTGGAGGACCACGTGGTGTTCGTTGGCGTTCCGGGAGTATTGGGCGGAAGTGCTAAGCGGCGGGCTGGGTCCGACTTTGCGTCCGATGGCCCTCGTGTCTACCTCTGTGCAGCTTCCCCCAGGCGCATCGCCCTATGACATCGGCACGCCCCGCTCGCACTGGCGCCACATGCACCGGGAGGTACAGCCCGATCTGTTCTCTTGGGGAGTCGCCTGCTCTGGTCTAGTTTCGCCTTCAGGGCATCACCACCACCATTGCAGCTCCCTCTACTCTTTCCCCGCTGGCGACGCTGACCACGCCAGCTGGTTTCCCCCCCCACTCAGAGGCCTCGCATTGCTTGCACGCGCTGCGTGGCTCACAGTCGCTCGGTTCCCCCTTGCGCTGTGGGGTGGTCTGACAGGGGCTGGCTTCGTTACGGAGTGGTACAGCCTTCCGCAGCAGGTGCAGCCTTCCAGGCTCACCTTCAACTTTCCCCAGTTGCGTTTCACCACGGCTCACGACTGCTCAGCCTTTCTGGCTAGCTCAAGTCGCCAGGGCGTTTGGAGCCTGGCGCCCCACTTGCGACTCACTCCAATGGCCTCCCACTTGCCATCACCCAGCATGACGGACTTTACCATCCTGGTTCACGTCTCTACTGCGTGGGTCGTGCCATGGCAAGCACCGAATTCTGAGACACTTTGTCCTGTGCGCGTGCTCGAGCTCTCAGGATGCCGTCCGCCGTCAGCTCCCTCTTTCAGCTTCGCGGCTGCTGTGTGAGTGGGCCGGCCGGCCTGTGCCTGTTGTTGCTAATTAGCCTGGTTCGCGTCCCGGACTTTGCTCTTGCCGCCTGACCGTCGTCTCGCGGCCGCGACCAAAAAGTAATCCCACCGGCCACCGCAGCCCCTCTGGCTCAAGCCGTTCTGGCCCAAGCCGCGAGCCGTCAGGGGGCTTCTGCCCGTTCCCTTCCCTTCACTTGTAGCGTTTTTCCCCTTCCGCTTTTCCGTGATGAGCTCGTGGCTTTCTGGCGGGGCCTGGTCAGAGTGGCAGGGCCCACGAGGGTGGCACAGTCAAGTTTGGCACAGTCAGCATGGCCCCCCACATGATACTCAGCGAAATTGGCACAGCCAGGATTGGCATAGTCAGCAGGGCCGCGAATTCGACTACGCCATCGCAGTCTGGGCAGCCCGCCGCGCGAGACAGCGCGCGGCTCGTCAGCGAGCAGAACAAGATACTCCTCCGTCTGGGCCAAGATGTGACGCTTCGGCGGCCCCGCCCGCAGAAACGACCCTACCACAGACTGCGAGCCCGAGGTCGTCGCTTTTCTGTGTCAGCATGGTCTTGGGATGTATTTGTCGAGCTTCGTTGAGCATGGCTTTGGGCGCATGGCTGAGGTACGGCTTATGAGTGATTGATACGTGCGCGGCATCGGCTGACGACCTGGTCGTTGCGTGCGTCTTGCTGCAGCACTGGGCCAGCAGGCTGCAACTGAACAGGGAACCTGCGTCGACACTCTCCTGGAACTGCCTGGCTCGCGCGGCTGTCCAACAAAGCTGCCCGGCGGCGTGGTCGCGGCGCAGACCCCGCGCACCTGCGCGCGGGCGGGCCCCCCGCCCACGCAGGGCGTTTCCCCTGAGACTGACTTTTCTCCTCCCTCCCTGTCCATGTTTCCTCGAGATGCGACGGTTAGTCGCCTGCGCCGGAAGATTGCGAAACGGGTCGCCTCCACCGGGAAGAGCGCGAAGATAGTCGCGAATCGCAGGAGGAGGAGCAGGAAGGAGTCAGGGAGGTCCCTGCCGGCCGCCCAACAGAACCCACCGGCAACGCGACCTCTCGGCGCACCCCGCCGCCTCGGATTCCAACGGACTCTGCGACGGTCAGTCGCCGCCGACGGGGAGAATGCGATGATAGTCGCGAGTCGCAGAGCGAGGGGCAGGGTGAAGACAGAGAGGACTTTGCCGACCGTCCAACGCAACCTGCTGGCAACACGACCCCTCGGAACACCCGGCCGCCTCGGATTCCAACAGACTGCGATGGTCGTTCACGCGCGCACAAGCACCGGGAAGATTGCGAAATGGGTCGTGAGCCACAGGAGAGAGGGGCAGGGAGAAAACAGAGAGGACCTTGCCGACCGTCCAACACAACCCACTGGCAACACGACCTGTGGGAACACCCAGCCGCCTCGGATGCCAATGGCCTCTGCGACGGTCAGTCGCCTCCACCGGGAAGAGTGCGGCGATGGCCGCGAGTCGCAGGGTGAGGGGCAGCGAGAAGACGGAGAGAACTTTGCTGACCGTCCAACACAAACGACTGGCAACGCGACCCCTGGGAACACCCAGCCGCCTCGGATCCCAAGGGATTCTGCGATGGTTAGTCGCCTACGCCGGGAAGAGTGCGACATGGGTCGCGAGCCGCAGCAGAAGGGGCAGGGAGAAGACAGAGAGGACCTTGCCGACCGTCCAACACAAACCATTGGCGACGCGACCCCTGGGAACGCCCAGCCACCTCGGGTTCCAACAGACTTTGCGACGGTCAGTCGTCTCCCCTGGGAATAGTGCGAAGATAGTCGCCAGTCGCAGGAGGAAGGGGGGCCCCACCGCTGGGGGGGAGACCATCGAGGAGACCATCGAGGGAGCGGCGGGGGAGTCCCTGGAGGAGAAGTGCGAGGACGTGGAGAGCGAGAGCATCCCAGAGCTGGGCATTGCGGTGGAAAGAGACA